CGCCGATACATATTTATAAATAAGCTAAGGGTAATTATTTTGTAAAGTCTGTGTATGGGTGTTTGTGTGATGTTTGTATGTGTGTGCGTGTGATGTTTGTATGTGTGTGCGTGTGCATGCGTGCGTGCTTGTTATTATCTTCAGACATCTATACGTAATTATCTTTTATCTCATTCATACAGCAATGAGTTTTAGAAAATAGGTCGCTGGAATATATTTGAACGTCTGTGGAACAGTAGCATGGATGGACATCTAAAATTGCAGTTACGTGCAAGTTTGTCTGGACTAGCTTAACATCACGTGTCACAAGACTAACAACCACACATTCCAACATTGCCAGATTATCCCACACAGACAGACTTATTATTTCAATCCTCTGATTGCAGACTGTTTCTGAAATTTTCATAATACAACCTCGGCCAAACGTTTTCATTAAGACATATTCACTATGATGATAAATGCCATTTGCGTTGACAAGTAAGTTTAGAAGTTTTTAATTGCCACAGTCCAAGACATTCTTAATTAACCAACAATCGAATTACAATTTTATGATTCGCAATTAAAAGGGCAGGATACTGGACAGGGAGACATGGACTTTTAGACAATAGACATGGGTGGGTAGACCTATAAATATTGCAACCTATTACTTAATATACTACTTCCTATTGATCTAAAAGTTCATGCTGAGACCTGTGAGACATGCTGAGACCTGTGAGACATGCTGAGACCTGTGAGACGTGCTGAGACCTGTGAGACATGCTGAGAACGTGTTGCATGAAGTTGATCGGTTGCGATCTCCAGGTTCACCGCGGTTGGATGATTAAATTATACTACAATAGTAGATGGATAAAGAGACTTTCATCATCGCTACGATATAATCACATTGAATTCACGCAGCACACCAACTGCTGACTGAATTTATAAGGAAACATTTTTAAATACAAGACATATTGGATTTATTTTAAACCAAAACTGTGATACAAATATTTTGTGCATCGTAGTTAACTGACAAATAAATGAATAAATACACACACACACCAACACAGACACACATACAAAACCAAACACACTCAGACCCTTTCAGACACACACGGACACCCAAAGGCAGACAGACAGACAGTCAGACAGACACACACACATCAAATAACACACAGAGGGTAACATTAATTTACATTAGCAGATGAGTTCTAGCGCAGATCTTTGGAGACCTATTGTGACGAAGAGTCTAACTTATAATTGTGTCAGTTTGAGTTGGTATATATATATATATATATATATATATATATATATATATATATATATATATATATATATGTAAGTGTGTGTGTGTGTTATTGTGTGTGTGTTATTGTGTGTTTGATGTCATTTGTATGAAAGTTTATGCAAAATAATATGATATTTCATATAAAAATTTCACGCTAAGAAATGAGTATATGCGCCTACACACACACAAACATATGCTTATTTATTTATAAGCTTGTGTTTTTATATTGACATAAATAGACTTTATGTTATAAAAATACGAAATACTACGGTTGGATGCTGTGCGCAATGTTTATTTGTAGTGTTTTGTTTATGACTATTATTGAATGAAAATAGATTTTTTATTATCGCATAAAGCAAAGCACACAAGCAAATAAGAAGAAAAACTAAGAGTAGCTATATGCCAGTTACATGTAAAGATTCATATAATTCAGTTTTACGTACATGAACCGCACAACACATGGACACGTTATTTAGAATAAATGATGATATAAATAGCACGATAAACGAACGAATATTAAAAATAATAATTTATAGCAAATGCAATTATATACATTTGTGAATAAGTATACATACTTATGTGAAGATATCAGTTGTATATATTATGTATATATATATAGTTGTTATATATATACATATATATGTGTACATATCATGTATTGAAGTTATATATAAGTATATATGTATATGAATGTATACAGCCCCACATGAGTATATATAGAGGATGTTCGTTCCGCCGACATCATTTATGATATTACGGGTGATCCGAGGATTGAAGTTGCTCTCCTGAATGTTTATACATTTCGCAACAGACATTTTGCAGTATGTGGATTGTTATATTAATATTTGTTGCTGGAATTATTGAGTTTTAAAAAATGTTTTAATCTTTTTATTTGTCTTATATTACACTGGTAAGTTTTTAATTACTTTGTTTCCGAATTTTTGAAAAATTCTTTTAAACAAATCATTTAATATTAAAATTAATTCGTGTGGATCATTTAGAGGATTTTGTTTGTTAGTTTTGTATTTAGTGGATAGTTTTTTTAATTATAAAATAAAACAATTGAAAAGTAAACAATTTCTTTTCAACAGCACTTTGTCATCATTATATTTCGCAAATTTTTATTTATTTATTTATTTTTAATGTTTCTTAAAAATGTAAAATGCAAATAATGGAGTGTTGGCAAATCTTTATTAAGGATGTTTGTTTGTCTGGTAGCCATGTGCTTCCAGTTATTTGAGCCATTTACAAATTTTTTCCAGATAGTATTTTAATAATTTTTAATGTTAAAACCTTCTTTATTTTCATCTTAGAAGTCAGTTACAATGCAACAACAACAACTTCAACTAGTCCGAAATTATAAACAAAGATAATTAAGTCAACAAAAATATCTCCTGACATTAACTGTTACACCAGCCACAACAGCGACAACATCATCAGCAACAACAACAACAACATCAAAAACAACAACAACAGCCAAAACAACCTCAACACTAACATCAACATTGATAACATCAACATCGACAACATCATCAGCAACAACAACATCAACAACAACAAAAACCAAAACAATTTCAACACTAACATCAACATTGATAGCATCAACATCGACAACATCATCAGCAGCAATAACAACAACATCAGCGACAATCCAACAACATCACAAGAGCAGCACAACAATGGATTACGTAACCAGGCGTCTATTGATTTGGCACTTGTTGCAGGAGCACAGATCATTGCGTAACTGCTACTCTCGGCAGAACTCTTGTCTGCAAACGTGGACGGACCATTTCAATTACTTGATTACGTCACAAGCGTTGATGTCGTCATCATCGTCTCCATCGGCGTCGACATGTCAGTCATTCTCATCATCAACGATGTTGTCGCCAGCGTTCACCCATGTTCACCCAAATACTCTAGAGGCAGATATAACACCACCACCACAAACAACAACAACAACATCATCAACAACATCAACAGCACCAACGACAAAAGCACCATCACAAACAACAACTACATCATCAACAACAACTACATCAACAGCACCAACGACAAAAGCACCACCACTAACAACAATAACGACAAAATCGTCAAATACGACGACACTCTCTTCAGAAACAATAGATGGCACATCGTGTTGTTGTTCGTGCTTGAATTTCATCAAGCCTGCAATATTTGATAGGATGAACAAAAGCAACAACATCCATGAAACCAACTCTGGTGATAGCATCGTGTTCAATGATCAAAGGATTATGAAAAACAAATTTACTAGCAACGTCAAAATCAGTCTCGCCGATAATGGTAGTACTGTTAAAAATTACTCGAACGAATCAATCATGAATGCGAGCAATTTAATGAAACTAACCTACAAACTGATGGAGAAGAAGAACCTCGTACGACGACTCGCATCCATGAAAACCACCAAATCAGATATTCACAACAACACAAGACTTCCTAGTTGTAATAATGACATCAATACATCATGCGAACAATTCGTTGCTGCGTTCCTTAAAGGCATACCAACGCATCAATTGAGATTGCTGAAAAGAATATTGAACAATAAATCATCCAAGAACTATTTATGCAAAAACGCAAATATGAATAATTATCATCCTTCCAGCGTCATCAACAACAGCAACAGCCAACTTAGCATCAACAACAACAACAATAACTACAACAACAACAATTGCAGCCAACATAGCATCAGCAACATCAACATCACCAACAACAACAACAGCCAACATAGCATCAACCATAACAACATCACCAGCAACAACAACAGCCAACATAGAATCAACCACAACACTAACAACAACAACAATCAACGTAGCATCAACAGCAGCAGCAGCAACAACAACAACAACAACGAGTGTATCATGGTTTCGAGGAATATCATTCCAAGCGTAGATTCCCACTTACTTTCATTCATCCTGTGGAATGAAATTAAAACAACCAGCCTGGCGAATGAAATAAAATTAATAAACCTTCCACACTGTCAGGGTTGCACTGAAGACAGATCCTGCATCAATCCAGGCCACTGGAATGTTCTGTTGGCAGGTTTGATGGAAGTGAAATTTTGAATTTTTGAAAAGGATATTGTCTCTCACTTTGTATACATTCATTTTTTTATTTCTCTTGAAATATTTTTATATTTTAGTGTTAATTGACTTATTGTTCTATCAGATAACTTACAGTGATTGAATGAATTGTACATTCAACTTTTTTTTCAGTTGATTTTTGTCATAAGACTGGCTGTTGAAATGTTCTTCTTAATTTTATTTCAGAGTGTGAGTTGAGTGAGCAGCGTTCAACATTTCACAACGCAAGCAACCAAACTGGACTAAAAAATCTCCTTCTAAAAAACCAACAAACCGAAAAATATCATCAACATCAAAATCAACAACTTCCAAAGTGTGAAAAATGTCGACAACAACTTCCACCAGAACCTCAACCCCTGAAGCACCAACAGCCCCAACACCAAGAAGAGGGAGGGAGCAATTTGAAGTCAGTGTGGTGTCGACTGCTGTACAGAGAATACAAAAGTTGCGTACGATATTCACGAAGCCTTCGAAATGATTGGTCAACGTTTGATGTTAAACATCTGATGGGTTGTAAGGACAACGACACGAACGTCCACACCACAAATTGCAGCAGCAGCAGCAGCAACAACAACAACCACAACCATAACAACAACAACTTGATGTTTGCAATAAACCCTTTTCGATATATTCTCAGGCGAATTTCAAAGAAGCACGACAACATTGCTACTACTAACAACAGATCTTCACTACATCAGCACAACACGTTCTACGACTTCAGTTCATCCAAGCAGCAACAAACTTTGCTGCAAACGCGCTCAAAAATAGGGCGGGGTGTCATTTTGGAAAGACGACTGGAGGATGTTAATTCTCCAAATCATTCATCCTCCGCTGCTGCATTTCTATCTTCCTCTTTTTCTTCCTCTCTTTTACAGTCGACACTATCATCTACGTCATCGTCATCACCATCTTCGTCATCATCAACGTCATCATCATTACCATCTTCGTCATCACCATCACTGGCTTCACCATCACTGTCAATACCATTTTCTTCTTTATCGCCGGCTTTACCAGTTTTTTGTAAAGCCCAGACTACAGCACATCAAAAAGAACTGCAACAACAACAACAAAACATACATCCAACAAATCATGTTGCGACGACAAAAACAAAAACATCGCCAGAAACAACACCACCAACAACAAAACAACAACAATCAGTCATTTACCTTCACAACATTTCCGATTACCCAATATTCGTCTGCAGGTCGGACCGCAACAAGCCCGATCGATCACCGGTTATTAAAGTTGGAAGAAACTGCTCAATCCGGTTGAACAGTTTTGCTGTTCGAAACCATGATACTGCCAGTCCTGTAACTTGCAATCACAACAACAACATTGCTAGTGATTTTGAAATTGATAACAATAAAGAAAACAACAACTGCAACAAGAGCAACAACAAATCCATTAATTACATCGACCACAACATAGAAAACGTCAACAGTTTCAGTGAAAACTTTTGCAGAAATAACTTCCATGGCAACAGCAACAACATCAACCTCGACCACATCAACTCCAACAAGAACATCAGCAACAACGACGACAACAACAAGAACATCAACAACGACAACAGCAACAACAATAACAACAACAGCACCGATGATGTTGATGTCAAAAATGACTTTCCTGCAGTCGGACCTGTACTGCTGGATTCGGTCCTGGTTAGTTTCGTGAAGGGATGGTCATTCGGATACCAAAGGATGGACATCACCAGTTGCCCCTGTTGGATGGAGCTGCTCCTCAGCGATCAGTAGTGGTGGTCACTGCTGTACCGTATCAGGAAGATGATGAGAATGGCGAAGATGATGGTGGAGAGTATGGTGAAGATGATGATGGAGATGATGGCGAAGATGATGATGAAATGATGATGAATATATATATATATATATATATATATATATATATATAGGTTAATAATTTAAAATAACCAAATGTTTTTCATAGTCAATCAATCAATCAATCAAATTAGTTTTAATTTATAAACACTTAGTTTATGATGGATGAGCAGCAAACATGAACGCATGCAACAGTTGGAAACTTGCGTGTCATGGCTCCATCATCATCATCATCTAAATTTTCCACAATGCATTACCACAAGTCTCACATGCATTGTTACGCTTATTCATGGACTTACTTGTACGTGTTGCATTCACACTGGTACAGTTTTTCTTGTACCATCAATTTACAGAAGCTTTACTGCAATTTCAGTCGTTTGACGCATTTAAAGTTGTAACGTGTGTAAGTTGTGATGAATAAATTTTTATGTGGAGTTTTTGAATTTTTTGTGGCTATGAAGTTTTCCCACACAAATACACACATACACACACAAAAGGCACACACATACGTACAGCGTGCGCACACACACACACACACACACACACACCACACACACACACACACACACATGCATACTGAATAATTATTTTGATGTTTTGATGAATAATTAATGATGTTTAAATTATTTCATGGTTTCGAAAAGTGTTGATTTATTTTTCATTTTGGCGTCATCGTTGATAAAAACTGAAACAACATTGAACGATTATACATTGAAATAATGATCTAAGTACTCAGTACCATAGCCACTCCTAACAGATTCTTCTAGCCGAGTTCGGGTCGCATGCTAGATGTTGATGGATGAATGAATGGATGGACGGATGGATAGATGGATGGATGGATGGACGGATGAACGGATGGATGGATGGATGGATAGATGGATGGATGAATGGTTTGATGGATGAATGGATGGATGGAAAAATGGGTGGAAAATGGATGGATGAATGACTGAGTGGATGGATGAGCGAGCATATTGATTGATTGACCGTAATTAAGATATTACATTTCTTTGTCGCGCCATGCCTGGTCTGATGTATTCGATTCGCTTATTTGTATTATTTATTTTCCCAATTTTAAGAATAAATGGTGCATGTGTGTATGTTTTTATTCAATATATTCTAATTATTGATGTGTTGTAAATAATATTTTGAATTTATTCGTCCTTTAACTTGCGACTGTCACTATGGAATGTTATTTCCTCCTACTTTTGGAAACTTTCACAGAAACCTGTTCAATTAATATTTGTTGGCTGGCAAGTAAGCAACTTCAGATGTAGCTTCCAATAGAAAAAACAGTGTCACTATATTTCTACAATTTATTTTTATTACTATTGTTATTATTTTAAATATTATAATTATTATTATACGACTATTGCATCTATATTTTCAATTCTGAAGCAATTAAACATTTAATACTTCCGTGTGGTTCATTTTTTGAGCTCTTTTAACGTGAAATTTACTTTTAACAAGTGAATTTTTATCAATATTTAATGTAATGAAATAGAATCGATCGTTAGCTGGTTGTAAAGTATTCTATGTATATGGTCAGTCAGTCTCGTCGTAAAATTTCTGATTGTGAATGAAAAGATACAACCGCTTCATCTCTTGTTACAATCATTTTATTGAAAGTCACCAGTGGGACAGATAATAATTTACGAATTATCGTATCGTGTGCAATATAATTTTAATCAGAGAGTAAATTGTATTAAATATGTAATTTTAAAAACCTCCCATGTGCGATATTACCACACACACACATCACATCACACATCACACACATCCACCGCACACACACACCGCACATACATATGATATAAATGTATATATAATTATAAAATTTAATATAGCATGTGGATGGATATTATATTACAACAATAAACTTCCACTTATGATCAAATAAAAAATAATTTTTTTTAAATTTTCTCAAGCTTACGTAACTCGCTGAAATTTAAATAATAAAACCGATTAGGTCGATTGAGTTCAGTGGTATGGACGAGAGGTTCCAAAACATGGCTTTGAGGGACGAGTGAAGTCATGCCAACCAACATGGCTGTTTTGTTTTCCAACATTTATTTCAAACATTTATTTCCGACATTTGTATCCAATGCATGTTTGAATTTTAATTTCAAGTGAGGGAATTCTTCCAACTACAATCAACAAGCTTTCAAGAACGTTTGCACAGCATTATATTTCACCATCGTCACCATCTTCATCGTCGTCATCGTCATCAATCACTACCACTGCAAGGATGCTCCGCTTAAAAATTTATCGCCAATTATAAATAACAACAGCAAGCACGTTGAGTTTAAATTGATTGGAAATAAAAAATGATGTCAGCATGAAATATTTATTGATAAAATCATTTAAAAAAGTTGAGTCACAGTAAGCCCTTCAACAATAATTGCTTGTCATCTTTCAATTGAACAATCGATCGACTAACCAACCAGACAGCCAGCCAACCAATGAAGAAACTCTGCATTCATCGATTGAAACATCCACTCGCAATAACAAGCCCCAACTAAACGAACCAACTACCTAATTGAGCAACTAATCAAGCAGCCAAAATAGCACGCGGAAACAATGCAGACAACTGAGGGAGGGAGCCAGCAGCGGCACGCAGAACACTAAACCATAGAGCACGCGTGTCTGCTTGACGGGCTAGTTGTACAAGAACACCTCGTAACTCTCTCAAAGAGTTCCAGTCTCACCTCCTTGCCGCACAACATTTCTATTTGCACATCTTTTGAAGCAGCAGGTTTGCAACAGGTTCTCCTGGTTGTCCCCTTGGTCGCTGTATCGTTACGAGACGGTGGACCGACTGTTCTGTTGGTTATCTGGCATGGCAGGCAGAAGGTGTTCATAACTTCCTTCAGACTGCTGCATTCCGAGGTCTTCAGCGTGAACGATTTCACGACTCCGTCGTTACAATTCTCGAACGATTTCGCCCTGTTCTGTTGTTATAATTATTGTTTTAAATTAAATTATTAATATTATTAGTTGTAATTATTGTTATTATTATTAGTATTAGTAGTAATGATATTAGTAGTAATGCTGGTACTAATTCAACAAAATCATAACGTATCCAAATAAAAACTTTGTACAGATTATCTCTTAAGATAAATGGAATCCTCCAAAAAATACTCATAAAATTAGTTTGGCAAAATTCTGTTTTTTGTCACAACAGTTTCCGTTTTTGATAAATTTTGTAACCAAACATCACTACTGGCATATCTCTTATGATAATTTCACTTAATAACATCACTCCCCAATGTATGTATGGCTACGTACCCATAAATACCCACAATGACAACAGGTCTATTTGTTTATTTATTTCAGGTTGAAATTTGAAATGAGACACACGCAACAATGAACAGACCGATGGTCTCGTGTTTTCGGTCTCACTGGGACACGGTCTATGGAAGCAGTGCTTCTTTTTCATCCTGTGTTCGCAGTCATTTGCGTCTGCTGTTATCTGGATGGAGACTCCTGTATGTATTGGGTGTATATATATATATTTGTGTGTGTGTGTGTTTGTGTGTATGTGTGTTTGTGTGTGTGTTTGTGTGTGTGTTTGTGTGTGTGTGCGTGTGTAGTGGTGAATTAAAAGAGAATCATTTATTAAAATATTTTCATGAATTTTAATTCAAGTTGGTTTTTTAATTTATGTTTCGAGTTACAAATAACTTATAATTGTATGTGATTAAAATTAAAGCTGCAGTAGCTAAGGAATGCAGCAAAATTTATTCGAACATAACTTCAGCAGTTATAAATAGAGGAATATAATGAAAATACTTATAAATAATCAGAAATCCTGGGTAAAAATTTCCAATGTGTTGTTGACTCAGGTGACATATTTGAAATACTGCTATGAGATTTTCATATTCAAATGATGTACCGTTGTAAAAAATTTTCTATTTTAATTTTGTTTATTGAACTTTTACATAAAAAATTTGAAATCCACACATTTTAGTTTTTTGCAACAAGTAGAAAACTTTTCATTCTTGGCAGCAAAAAAGAAATCGAACAAAATTGGTTTGAATGATTCTGCATTGAATGTAAAGCAATTATTATGTTAACGAAAATATTTGCGATACTGATGATGATAACGATAATAATGATGGTGATGAAATGATTACGACGACGATGACGACATAAAAAGCAGATGGCGATTATTAACGGTTCATGAGGTGGCAGCTGTAAAGTTGGTGATCTCATCAATTATGACCGAAGGTTGTAATGTTAAATGATGATGATAATGTTGATGTTTCTGGTGGTGTTGATGTTGATGATGATCTGATGATTAGGATGATGATGTTGTTGATAATGTTGTTGATGTTGATGATGATCTGATCCGATGTTGTTGTTGTTGCAAAAAAGCTATGA